GAGCACTACCAGGAGTGACTAGAATTAATGGTCCCAAGCTGGGAGAGGGTAGATTTAAGCTAGATATCAGGAGGCGCTACTTCACGGTCAGGGCGGCTAGGATCTGAAACCAACTTCCAAGAGAAGCTGGCTGTCTCCTACCCTGGGGGTCTTTAAGAGGAGGCTGGATGAACACCTTGCTGGGGTCATTTGACCCCAGTACTCTTTCCTGCCATGGCAGGGGATCGGACTAGATGATCTACTCAGGTCCCTTCCGACCCTAGAAACTATGAAACTATGAAACTATAATTGCATTATTAAAGAGGGGGGCGGGTGATCTTGGCAGACATGGGAGTGTCCTGATTATTTTTGAAAAATCAGATTATTTGGTCATTTGAATTGCTCCTCTCTGCTTCCCCTTTCTGTTTTCATTCTCTCCGCCACAAGCACATGCAAGTCCTGGTACAGGTTTCCCTTGCTTTATGCAGGTTCTGTATGTGTGAATTCACTCTTATGCAATGATCTGTTTTATACCAAAAATTCGTTATACACGATGTTCATTCACTCTTATGCGATCAGTGTGGCAGAAGCCCACAGTCAGCTGCTTTGTACAGTGCATTGTGGGAGCAACACGCACCAAAATATAGTCTCCTGCGTGGATCTGTGCTCCTCGCTCATTGCCTGCGAACCGTGTTTCTGTAGTTGTCATCCCCATTATGGCTTTAAGCATCCTGCTAGCTTAACATTCACCACCAACCTGTGCTTGTGTGCAGTGGCGATGCGTACGGGGTACACATGCACCCCCTGAGAGTGCTGGTGGCCCCCTGACAGGCCATGCTCCCCACTTAGGCGACAGGCAGCAGGGGCAGGCAGGAGTGCCAGTGTCCCCCTGTAAGCACTGGCTGGGGAGTGAGAGCGCTGGATGTAGCACCACAGCTGCTTCCAAGAGCGCCGCAGTTGCAGCACAGTTGGCCACCAGGGGGACCTCCTGCCCCCGGTCGCTGACTGGTCGCTGGGGGGGCACATGCCCCCCCCATTACTAAGGTGGCACCAGTTGCCCATGCTTGTGTGCACTGTCTGCTGTTAGTGAGTACCTAAATTGTCTTGTAAAAGTGACAGAAGTGGGTCTGGGGATCAGTATAGTCGAGGTCTTGGAATATTCCCCTATTTGCTGCATGGTAAAGTGGGTTCCCTTTTTGCAAATTCGTTATGTGCCGTTTTCCAGGAACGCATGTACAGCATAAAGCGAGGGAAACCTGTAATTGCAAATAAACCCCAAAGAGATCTGCTTGATCAAATGCCTTCTGTCTCAGAGCCCAGTTCAACCACTGTCTGTATATATATATATTTTTTTTTTAAATCACTCCAGTGCTCAAAAGGCAATTGGGACTCATAGTAAAGATGATATCTTTTATCAAGAGCCAACAAGATTTTTGCAAAAACAATTCTTTAATTGCAAGCTTTTGGGCACAAACACCCTTCATCAGGCATTGGAGAAAAGATTTTAAAAGTTCTCCTGTATAGAAATGAAAGTTCATATTTCATAGGATTTCAGAGGAGTCAATAGATGGAAAACTATTGTATAGTTTTTTAATGGTTGTATTGTATAATTTTTATAGTTTTTGAAAATCTGTTGTATAGATGAAAAACCAGTGCTCAAATAGTTTTCCATGGGGAGAGAATAAACAACATGTGGTGGATGTTAATTGTGTCCTTTAATATGTGACTGGAAGGCACTGGGAGGCTGAGGGAATGAGGGATAAACTGAAATACTGCTTGATCCTGTAATGAAGTTTCATTTTGTGTTTTGCACAATGGCTGCTGCTCTTGATGTCGTTAGTGTGTGGGTTTCAGGTGAGAGTCACCTGCAGGCTGAGAAAATACAACCTCTTGTTTAAATGCAAATATTTTTGCTGTTAGGAACAATTTAGGAAAGAGATTAGTCCATGTTAAGCAATACATATTGGAAGGGGGGAAGGGAAATCCCCTGCTATGAAATTCAGTCTTTTTGAAGCATGCTTTTTGTAAGAATCAGATACCTTCTGATCCCAACACAACACTTTGCTCTAACAGCATTTCACAAGAGTGACCAACTTACACACGAAAAGAGTGATAAAGTTGCCTGGGAAAGGAGGCCCGGTAGTGAGATTTCTAAATAACTTATGGCTTGCGCAAGAAGTGATATGACTTGGAAACTTTCTGTTCTTGTTAAGTGTTCAGAGTTGGAGAACCACTACAGATTTCTGCAGCAGGCTAGTGACAGGGAAACAGAATCTAGGCCGAAGGATATACACTTTCTGTTTTCCCTGCATACCATTTTTCCTCAAAGTCCCAGATTCCTTCTTTGCTAATGCACTTAAAATGTAAAGGTAGTTAAGTGTGAAAAACTAAGTGTAATGGGGAAAAAATTTACCAAGTTGACCAAAAAAGTTGTTGTGAATGAGAATGATCTAGTAGGTTTATTGTAACAAATCTTTTAACAATGTAGAACGACATGGTCTATTTACTAACAATACTTAAGCACTATTATTATTTGACATCAGGCTGAGGTAGTTCCTGCCCCAGGGATCTTGCAGTTTGTACCCCCTCTTCAAAGCACTTTGCAAACTTCCAGTAAAGAGCACTACGGTTGCTCTATTTACTCCCTTCCTTCCAGCTTCCTGTTTTATGCTGATAATTTTAGTAATAGCAGTTTCACTTTTAATCGCAAGTCTAGAAAAGAACAAGGGTTAAATTCTGCATTATATTTCAGACCTGACAAGGAATATTCAAAAGCTTGTTTAATTTTATCTGAACTACATAGTTGGGCCAGTAAAAGATATCACCCTAAGAAAGCCTTGCCTCTTGCATTATATTTCAGAAGCAGCCTTCCTTTGCTGGGATAAATTACATGTATTCGTACTGTGCTGAAACAGTTTGCAAACTCAATTTCAGTCTGATGAAAAAATTAAATTACCAAATTATCACAGTTCCTGAACTCCCAAGATTGGGTATCCTTTAAATCTTTTCAGTGTATAAACACATGGATAGAACAAAACCAGCTTAACTAGGTATTACTTACTGCTAATCTCAAAGGACAGCAAAGTAAAATTAGAAATGGAATATTTTCTGGAATGCAAGCCCACTCAAACCTACAGCTTCCAGCATTTGTTTTTCAGGCTTTGGTGATCAATGACTATAAGGCTGATGTATTTTTGTGCTATGACAGATAGTTGTTTGTGAATTTTCAGTGGTTGCCTGACCGAGAAGATGGGAACTCTAGCACAGACTAACATAAATCCAATTATAGCATTCCCAGCTGAGAGGAATCCAGTTACTGTACCTGGTAATTCACTGCCATGGACACTGACCTGGGGACAACTGTTCCTTCCCTTACAACTGATGTGCACAGCTGGAGACACCATCCCAGAGATGATTCCCCCCACCAGGCTGCACTGATGTTTGTTATTAGCCTGCTGCATTGTGTTGTGTTGTGTAATATTATTTGTGATGAAGGTGCCTACTTGCTGAGGGGAAAATGTCCTCTCTTGGGTGCCTTATCATGTGAGTCAATGTGGTCTCAACTTACTTAAGCTTACTTAAACCTCCTGAACAACCACTTGCTTTTTCACCCGGTTTCTCTTTAAATGGAGGTTTTTGTGTTGCTCTCAAGGAGCCTAGATAGATCAAGGGGTTGGTAGTGGGACACAGAGACTTATTGCTAAGCCTAGCTCATATCTATTCCAGGCTGGTGGTTATCAGAACACCGTTGTCTGAGACTACACTCACTTGAGATGCCTATATAAAATAAGTTGGTAGGAGTCTGCATCACCAAACCTAGAAACTGGCACAGCCAGGCATCTAGGAAGAGTGACGTTTAAAGATATATAGACTGGGTAAGGGTGGTGAAGTCCTTCATATCAGGACTGAGTTACACAGGTAAGGGCATTCAGAACATGTATCCCGAGCTGCACCACTCTGTGGACAAAGGGTATTATTGTTTCTGGGCTGCTAGCTTGGCAACTTGCTTGGGCACAGAATCCACTTTCATACAAAAAGGCAACAGTAAAACCAAGCAGACAAATGCAGCTCACTGTGTAACCAAGGGAGAACATGTGCCACTTCCATATGGACTCACAGGCCATGAACCTGGGCATTTACAAAAAAGGCAGTGACAGCATGGCTGAGAAAGCAGCCTTCCCCTGTTTTGCCATGGGAGCAGTCAGGGAGTCAGAGAGGAAGAGAAATGCTGGGAAGCTAACAAATGGGGCTGCGGTGACAGTGCAGTAGTCTGGATGTCCAGTTCAATGTGTGCAAAGATCAGAACTAAGATTTACTTGTCCAGTAACATAACCTCTCCTCACATCCCAGCTCACCTCCTGCCAGGGAATGCCTGAGATGCTGAGCACGATTCACTGCATTGCCAGAGCTGCTCTCATATGCAATACCATGGGGAAACTGCAGAGTAAAATCAACCACAGCACCTCCAAATACAGGTACACCCATCCTGTGTGAATGACAGCTCTGTAAGAAGTTAATCAAGTCTATTAGGTAGTTTTTGACAGGGCAGCTAGTAATTATGTGTAATCATTGGGGTTTTATTGGTTTTCTGAACTGACTTTTCTTTTTGCCTCCCAGCTCTGACTGAAATCCCTGCCTGTCTCTCTAAGCAGTGACTGTGGACAAACATGACCAACATTTGCACTTACTCATGAATAGCCTTGAATTCCAGAAGCTGCCTCAGTGGAAGGGAGGGTGTCTGGTCAGGGTGTGACATCTACCCTAGTCTTTAGAGAGTCATTGGCTTCCACCTGGATAATTATTAGACAGGTAAAATGGACCTTGGCTTGCTAGCTCCTGTGAAGAATGTACCACCTCTGTTAGTCAGACAAGGTTGTGTGAATCTGATATCTTTTATTAGACCAGTTTAAATAGTTGGTAAAAAAAAAATTAGCAAGCTTTTGGGTTTAAAAACCCTTTGTCAGGCTGAGGAAGTCTCTGCAGTTGGCGTGTGCTCTTTCTGGATGGAAGGAATAGTAAAGAAGCCAGAGGCTGGGCTGGTATGCATGCAAGACAGGCAGTCAGTGAAGATGTGAATTGAGGGATCAGTGGGTGAGAGACAGGCTGGGTGGTGGGGGGAGAGAAAAGGAAGATGAATGTTAGCAGTTAAATAGTGGAGAGGTACCTGGGGAGTCAGATGTCAGGCAGGTTATAATGTGTCATAAATCCAATGTCTATATGTAGTCCATGATTAGATAACCTGCACCCTTCCTCTGTCAGGCATTGCATTTTAGGCTACCTAGCAAACAGAGTGTGTAAGAGAAGGTGTACATTTAGTACTACTGCTGCAGCTTAACTTCTAATGATGCAGGCTGTGTACTAGTGCCCACACTGTGACACAGCTGTTACTTGCTTTTCATCGGTATTAGCTTGGATGGAGGGAGAATTCTAGCAAGTGCCAGGATGCAACAGATCCTTATTTTTCAGTATTGGTAGAGGGAGGCTGTTGGTGCCACCAAGGAGGCAATTAGAGACAGAATTTCAAATGAGATTTTGCCCATCAACCTCCAGGGAAATGGAGAGTATCCCTTACAACTGGATGATCTAGATCTGTATCCAAGTATTTAGAATCATAGAAAAATTGGGTTGGAAGAGACCTCAGGAGGTCATCTAATTCAACCCCCTGCTCAAAGCAGGACCATCCACCACTAGATCATTCCAGCCAAGGCTTTGTTGAGCCGGGCCTTAAAAGCCTCCAAGGGTGGAGATTCCACAACCTCTCTAGGTAACCCATTCCAGTGCTTCACCACCCTCCTAGTGAGAGCTTTTCCTAATATCCAACCTAAACTTCCCTTGCTGCAACTTGAGGCCATTGCTCCTTTTTCTGTCATCTGTCACCACAGAGAAGAGTCCAGCTCCATCCTCTTTGGAAACCCCCCTTTAAGTAGTTAAAGGCTGCTATTAAGCCTCTTCTCAGTGTTATCTTCTCCAGACTAAATAAACCCAGTTCCCTCAGCCTCTCCTCATAAATTATGTGCCCCAACTCCTCTAACCTTTTCCATTACCCTCCACTGGACTCTCTCCAATTTGTCCACGTCCTTTCTGTAGTGGGAGGCCCAAAACTGGTTACAGTACTCCAGATGTGGCCTTACCAGTACAGAATAGAGAGGAATAATCACTTCTCTTGACCTGCTGGCAACACACCTACCAATGCAGCCCAGTATGCCATTAGCCTTCTTTGCAACAAGGGCACGCTGTTGACTCATATCCGTCTTATTGTAAACCCCAGGTCCCTTTCTGCAGAGCTGCTGCTTAGCCAGTTGTCCCACACCTGTAGTGGTACATAGGATTGTTCCACCCTAAGTACAGAACTTTGCACTTGTCCTTGTTGAACCCCATGAGATTTCTTTTGACCCAATCCTCCAATTAGTCTAGATCACTCTGAATCCTAACCCTACCCTCCAGCGTATCTACTACACTCTCCCAATTTGGTGTCACCTGAGAACTTGCTTAAAGTACAATCCATCCCATCTTCCAGATTGTTAATGAAGATATTGAACAAAACCAGCCCCTGGACTGACCCCTGGCGCACTCCACTTATACCAGCTGCCAACTAGACCTCAAGCCATTAATCACTACCCGTTGAGCCCGATGATTCAGCCAGTTTCCTATCCACCTTAAAGTCCATTCATCCAACCCATACTTCCTCAGGTTGCTTGCAAGAATGTTGTGGGAGATCATATCAAAAGCCATGCTAAAGTCAAGGTATGTCATGTCCACTACTTTTCCCGCATCCACAGAGCCAGTTATCTCTTCATTGAAGGCAATCAGGTTGGTGATGCATAACTTGCCCTCAGCTGTTCCTAATCACCTTCTTCTCCTCCAGGTGCTTAGAAATGGATTATTTAAGGACCTGCTCCATGACTTTTGGGGGGATTGATGTGAGGCTGACTGATCTGTAGTTCCTTGGATCCTTTTTCCCTTTCTTAAAGATGGGCACTATATTTGCCCTTTTCCAATCATCTGGGGCCTCCCGCAGTTGCCACGAGTTTTGGTAATGGCCAGTGTCTCTGCAGTCACATTAGCCAACTCCCTCAGCACTCTCAGATGCATTGTATCCAGCCCCGTTGACTTGCACATGTTCAGCTTTTCTAAATATTTCCTAACCTTTTCTTTCCCCACTGAGGGCTGCTCACCTTCTCCCCAAACAGTGCTACCTGATGCAGTAGTTTGGAAGCTGAACATACCTGTGAAGACTAAGGTTAAAAAGGCATTGAGTACTACAGCCGTTTCATCATCATCTGTCACTAGATTGCCTGCCCCGTTCAGTAAGGGACCCACACTTTCCCTGACCTTCCTCTTGCTGCTGACATACTTGTAGAAACCCTTCTTGTACCCTGCGCATCCCTTGCTAGCTGCATCTCCATTTGCGCTTTGGCCTTTCTGATTTCCTCCCTGGATGTCAGAACAATATTCTTATACTCCTCCCTAGTCTTCTATCCAAGCTTCCACTTCTTGTCAGCTTCCTTTTGCAGTTAAGCTCACCAAAAAGTACTCTGCTAAACCAAACTGGTCACCTGCCATAGTTGCTAGTCTTCCTGCACATCAGGATGGCTTGTTCCTGCACCCTCGGTAAGGTTTCTTTAAAATACCACCAGCTCTCCTGGACTCCTCTTCCCCTGAGATTGGCCTCCCAGGGGATCCCGCCCATCAATTTCTTGAGGGAGTCAAAGTCTGTTTTTCTGAAGTCCAAGATCCCTACTCTGCTGCTCTCCTTTCTTCCTTTTGTCAGGATCCTGAACTCAGTCATCTCATGGTCACTGCTGCCCAGCCTGCCATCCACTTCTACATCCCCCACCAATTCTTCCCTGTTTGAGCAGCAGGTCAAAAGCAGCATGGCCCTTAAAGTGCCTGTGCACTGCTGTATTGCTTTCCCAGCAGGTGCTGGGGTGATTGAAGTCCCCCATGAGAACCAGGGTCTGTGATTGGGAAACTTCCGCTAATTTTCTGAAGAAAGCCTCATCTCAGGTCCCAGCTCTGGTGAAAGATGCGCAGGTGAAAGCCTGCTGCACCCCCTTGAGCCCAGGGACCCCCAGGAGAGACCCCAGGACTCCCCACGAGCCCTGGCCTGCCCGCAGGTAAGCAGGGGCCTGTGGTGGGAGGGACGTAGCCAGCTGGGAGGTGGCTGAGTGGAGCCGAGGAGGGTCACATCCCACCACCAGAGGGAACTGCATGACCGGAGCCTCATGAACAGGCATACTTCTGGGCCCGGCGCGGGAGTTTGAGCAGGAGGGCCCGAGGCCCTGCCAGTTCACCCAAGGGAAGGCAGTCCCAGCTGTAGCCAGCCTTCCAGTGGCACCATGCAGATGGGCGTGCGCCACACCCTGAGGGTCTCTTTGGGGTCTGTGGTCCCCTGCTTTGGTGCCTCAGAGGTCTCCACCCAGACGGAGCCCGCGGTTCTGGGCTCCACATGGACAGAGCCCCTGGTCCTCGGCTGCAGAGGCTGCCTGACATTTTTTCAGGCTCTGGGGTCCAGGAGCATGGCCACCTCCTCTTGTGGGGTCTGCTCCCTTTTGGGGTCTCTGGCGTGCCAGCTGGAGGAGCTCCAGGCCACAGTCCAGAGACTGCATGCCATCAGGGACTGTGAGCAGGAGATCAACTCCTAATGCCAGGCCCTTCTCCCCCGGGAGCCAGAGGGTAGACCCTGGTCTCCCTCCAGGACAAGGGAGGACTAGGGGACTTCCCCTTCTGTCCAGCCATGGGGTTGGACCAAGGTGGTCAAGGGTCCCAAGGCCCCTGCCCCACTGGAGCTTTGCAACAGGTATGAACCGCTTGCAGCCCCAGCAGAGCCTGCCAAGCTGCCAGCTCCTGCAGGTAACACAGATGATGCTGTAGCTACCGCCCCCGCTCTCCCTAAGACAAAACGCAAAGTGTTTGTCATGGGAGACTCCTTCCTGAGGAGGACTGAGGGGGCAGCCTGCCACCCCGACCCCTTAGCCCAGGAAGTCTGCTGCTTCCCTGGAGCCCGTATCCGAGACACTGCGGAGAGGATCCCTGAACTCCTCCAGCCCACTGACCACTACCCTATGCTCCTTATCCATGTGGGCATGAATGACATGGCTCAGAGCAATCCCAGCCGGGTCATGAGGCACTACAGGGATTTGGGTGCAGGGCTTAAGGGTCTGGGGGTGCAGGTGGCATTTTCTTCAATCCTCCCAGTTTTGGGTTACGGGCTGAGGAGGGAGAGGAGGGTTGAGGTAGTGAACCAAAGACTGCGGCACTGGTGTCATCGGGAAGGCTTCGGCTTCCACAACCATAGTCCGCTCTTTGGCTAGAGAGGCAGCGACCTGCTAGGAAAGGACGGCCTCCACCTCTCTCCGCTGGGGAGAAGGCTCTTCTCAGCCAGACTGGCTGACCTGCTCCACCAGGCTTTAAACTAAGCCTGCTGGGGGACGGGGGGACTTCCACCACTGCTGGCGTGCTGAGCAACCCTTGC